TAAAGTATCCAATGACAAATTTCATAAGTAGATGATCTATAGCCCATAGATTACATGTGATCCTCAAATGCCTCTCTCACAGACTACTCTGAGTGCCCAGATTGATGATCTCACTATTGATGATTAAACAGCTAAACAGGGAAAATTAAAATCTGAGACAGCATCTGCCTGACTTCTCAAACAGCAATGTTAAAATTGCCAGGAAGACTATTCACACTCATGCCCAATAGCTTATGAATAATAACAGGTATTGAAAAAGTGAATTGCACATAATACTCTGAATATATTTTGTAAAATATAAGTGATCATTTTCCCATTAACTTTCATCATCTAACTTTTTTGTGAACAATTGAAATTAGTCCTACGAAATCAATCACTTATTGGGCATACATTTTTATTTGGATTCTTCTTGCGAGTACTTCACAATTCCTACCTGCAGTCTAGCATTGTGGAAAAGGGCAGAATTGACACACTGGGGAAAGAGAGACATGCATTATGCAGTCCCCATTTTTACACTCAAAGATGAAGGTAAGAATGTAGCAAATACATGCCTGCTTTTTAACAATCATAACACCAGGGGGCTCCTGGGTGTTCTTTGTCAATTAATCAGGTTCAGCTGTCATAAAATTGCTTTTCCCAAGGAAGCATGTTTAGGTAATCTGTATCTATCAAAATGCTTCATGAAAAGCACCAGTCTAGTATTTGATCATTAAAGAGTATTACTTTTCTCTTTAAAAAAAGAAAGAAAAAGGATTATTCAACTATTGTAATAACATTCTCTGAAATATAAGAACCAATTTCTCATTTGTTAAACTCTTGATTTTACAGACCTTGATTCCACAGAATCTGGATGTAATGAATTTCAGGGAATATCAGATTTTACCTGAAACAAGAGACCAAGTCTGTGGTTTGATGATGCAATCAGTGCAACATTTGCGTCTCCTAAAATGTGGCCATGCATTTGCATATGCTTCATTTTAAAGTGAAGACTTAACTAAAGCCAGATGCTTTCTTCAAGTTAATAGGTTGTCCAATATCATCATCAATGAAACCAGTACCTCCACAACAGATAGCTAAAGGTAAGGTGTTTTTTTTTCATGGATGGACAGGTTTTGCAGCTAAAAAAGTCCAATTTGCAATTGAATTGACATTTGGAATTAATGGACATTCAATCCCCTGGCTATTCAATTGAGGATTTACTATATTTATAGTATGAGAACTACCGATTCTTCAGATTAATGGAAGACAAAAGAAGCCTCCTGTGTTTTTTAACTAATTCACATTCAATTTTATTTTTCAAAATAGCTTTAAAAAACGTATTGCAGTAGAGAAGCAAGCAATTGAAATTCTTGTGGATAGAATGCCATGTACGGTATTTGCATTATATACAGTACCTACACTGACAAGTGTGTATCTCATTGTCCTGTCCTTCCTTATACAATCATCTCTCCAGTGATATGTAGCCTCCCAGGCTTCCCATGTTTAACCTAAATCTTTATAGAAAACTCCAGAATGAAACTTTCTCCATTGCCTTTTGAGTAGCAGTACCTGTGTCATCAATAAAGGAGAGTCAGCTGGAGTAATGTGTTTCTACTCACATATTTCAAAATGCTATTTGTGCTCAGAATGATAATCTGCTGCAGTCAGCTCGCCATGACCAACCTGCCACAGCCAAGTCACCACAGGACAACTCTCTGTGGGACAAGAGTTGCATTAATATCAAAGAAATAATGGAATAGAACCATTAAAGAAAGGATGCAAAAGGAGGGACAGAATGAAATATGAATGGCAAAAATTAAAATCATTTTCATTTATTTTAAATAATTAAATAGAATTGTCAAATTGTCCTGCAATGAGTTGTCTTGCAACTAGTTGGCTGTGGCGAGCTCATCCGCTGCAAGTTGGCTGTGGCGAGTTGGCCACAGCAAGTTGTCCCATTCCTAGCCCAGATGCTGTGGGTAATTGTAACTCTGAGAATTGTAATTTAGCGACACCTGGAGGGCCACAAATGTCCAGCTCTCATTTAAATGCATAATTTGATGCATGAGTTAAGCTTACTTAGTAGAAATAGATTCTACTAATAGCAGTGAGCAGATTGCATACAGTATATACAATGCAGAACATGTATACAGGTAATCATCACTTAATGTCCCTAATTGGGACTGGCAAACCTATTGCTAACTGACAGACTTGTAAAGCAAAAAATTATGACTATGCTGATTTACAACAGCAGTTCCAGCAGATCTAGTTACAGTCATTAACTGGATACCACAAGTCATTATGTGCAATATAACACATATGTGACTTTCAACCTCCTGCTAGCTTTCCCACTGACTTTGGTTGTCAGAAGCCTGCCAGGAAGGTAAAAAATGGTGATTGATACGTGCTGTGACCATTATAAGTTCTAAGCACCAAAAATCACAAACACATGATTATAAGGACATATATAACATGTCCATATCTTTGACGGTTGGTTGTCAATCTGTTTTTTCAGTGTTATAATTTTGAATGGATGTTAAATAAATGGTCATTTAGTGAGAACTGCCTGTATAGGATGAAATCTAAAAATTCCAGTTACCAATTGGCTAAAAAAACATTTACACTGGGACACTAATGCCTGGTAATTACCAGATATTCCATCCATTGCAACTATTAATCTCTTACAGTGATTAAATATTCGAGTTACATTTTTAAAACAAACAAACATGAAAATGGCTCTAGGATGAAAATATAGGATAGCACAAAAGATAATTCTTTTATCAATGCATATGTGCAGATCATTATGTGAGACTGCCTACTGTCTTCAGGAACATATTTTGAATAGTGCCACTGTACATTTCATTTTTATAACATTATTTATGATAGAGAAAACAATGATTATTAATGCCATAGCACCAAATATAGCTCTTCAAACTTGGTTATCCATAACTTGCTCTACATCTATTTTTAGCCAAAAGACCAAGAGCCTATAGTTTGCTCCATCTGGGCAATTAAGAATCTAACGTTATGATAAGACTTCATTATGGTCTGAAAGCAATGGTGGGATTCAAATAATTTAACAACTGGTTCACCCAGGGTCAGAGTGGCTGTTGTGGGAGGCATGGACTGACCTGACCCTGGGAAAACTGGTTGTTAAATTACCCCTGCCCCCATCAAAGTGGATCCTGGGCACTGCACTGCAATGGAGAAATGGGAAATGGTGCAGCTGGCAAGAGGGACGGAAGAGGAGCAGGGAGAAGAAAGAGGAAAAATAGCCCTCTCCTTCCCTTGCGCCAGCCATTCTGTTGCCCGTTTCTCCATTGCAGCACAGTTCAGCACCCAGGATCCACTTTGATGGCAGGTGGAGAAATTTAACAACCTGCTTCCCCAAACTGGTGTGACCGGCTGAATCCCACCACTGTCTGAAAGTCTTGCTGGGATGGCTCAAAGGTGTAGAAGAGCCATTCCTCTTATAATATTAAAGAAATGAAAGAGAACCAGGCAGTCCCCAGGCTGCAACTTTTAGCATACTTTTTCAGGGATCAAAAAATCATGAACTAAGAAAAGAGATGTGGAAGGTAGGTCAGGCAATGCAATAGATTCTCAGCCAGTCCTTGAGTATTGAAGATTTGTCCTGAAATGAATACAAATTCCAGCTCCTTTGCAATGGTGGTTTATTCATTAGCTCAGCAAACAACAAATACTCTTCTCTGACAATAAAGGCTAAAATCCAGGCAAGGTTAGAGTTGGGTTTGAGTTTGCTCCCTATCCTTTTATTACCATTATCATGAAACACACCCCACCACACCCAGGACTATACGCAATTCTAATTCTGGTCACGCCTAACCCATTATCCCTAAATGCTATTAATTCTATAACATGTCTACATCCCTACCCTATTCCGACCCACACTAACTGATCCCCACCTGGTGCCACCTTCACCATGTTTTAACCTAAGGCTTAATTACCACCTATATGTGCCCCAACCCCCTTTAACAATATGCACCACATCAATACATGAAAAGAGCCATTTCCAGCAGCCCAGCACTTGTTTCAGAATCCATCCTCCATCCCTGCAGTTGTTGCAGAATCCATCCTCAGCTCTGCTAAGTCATTCCAAAGCCATCTGCCAGCACACAAGCAGAAATACAGATCCAGCAGCAGCAGAGATAAGGTGACATGGTCAGCTGATTTGCTGTGAGACATATTAGGAGTTGACGGGCTTCCGAGTGAACTTGGAGCTTGACATAGGTCTAGTGAGAGTTTGAGAGAAAACTTCCCACTATGATCCAGTCTGTCACTTTTGCACTGCTTAGTGTGAAAGTGTAAAAGAGGAAAGAAAGGAAAGGAAGAGATGAAGAATTATAGTACTAGGGGAGCCTCAGGTGAGCTAAGCATTTCTGGTGAGCCTGAAAAGTGATTGGAAGGGGCATTTTGGTAACTTCTTGGCAGGCACTGATTAACATGACCAGATAAAGAACTATAGAGCAAAATGGAAGATTATTTGCTCAGAGATGTAACTGTGTTTTAGATCTCATATTGTAGATGCTATGTTCTAATAAATCATGCTTTGGGTCCTGGAATATCTGTAACACATTGAGTAATAGTTTCTGTGTAATTTGAATGTACAGTTATAGAAAACCACCAGTATAATACATTTTAATCTTGGGAACTGATTGAATTGTATACAAGTAATTGGTCTAAGCTGCTATTATTGCTGTAACTGGATTTGTACATATTTATTCTAAGGCTGAACAGAACAGAACTTTGAAAGCTCTTCGTGATTTTGTTCATCAGCATTTCTTCCATTTTCACCCAACCCTGCCTTGCATTCCAAATGGAGTACCCCTCCTCCCTGCAATTTGCCACGCAAGAGCCTGCTGGAAAACTTCCTGTGCACGCATGGGAGCCATAAAAGGCTTATTCTGGCTCTTGTAATTCAGTGGTGGTTTTTTTCCCTTCTCGCTTGCTCCTTCCCTCCCTCTTCTTTAGTTGATTCTAGCTTAGGAACTGAGAAAATACAGGTCATTTTAGTCATTGGGAATATTTTTGCATATGACTGTATTCCAGAGCAAAACTAAAGGGCTGGATTTATTCAGCTGGGGAATTCTTTTCTGCACCTTTTCTTCTACCAACATATAATCTGCATCACTTTTGGATTTACTTCCCACTTATTAAGGACTGCAGCCTCCAGGGAAAACTGAGCACAGATGTGAGTAACCATCCATAAATGCAGTTGGGGGGATTAAGGGGGCAAATGAGAGAATGACAGAGATTTTGGAGTTCAACTTGCAATCTTTTTCTTTTGCGAAAGGTCTCATTTCACAAGAATATATAACAGCTGGCTCTTCATTATAGAGAAAAAAGGCTTTTTGGAAGCAACAAACACAAACTCCCTGCTGTTATTTTTGCTTTTTTTTCTGTCTCTCTTTTTCTTTCCATGTGGAGCATCTTTTTTTGGTGCATAACTTTCATGAGATCTTAGATTAATTTAATCATAGAGGTTATCAGTGATTCATCTAATATTCCTCAGTAGTTTCTGAGAAGAAAAAATGACTCAGTTTGGCAAGCAGTATCCTTGATTTGTCAAAAGTAATTCTGTAATTTTAAACATTCAGGAATATAGATATGCATGCTATAACTGAGGAAATTACATTTAAGCAGGCTAAGCTGAGTTTACACACCAAGAGAGGTGTGTACTGGATATGCAGTTGGGATGCAGTATCTTATTTTTTGCTACCCAGGGTGAATTTTCTCTAAGGGCAATTTCAAGCAAAGCACAATTCTTGCAGAAAGTGTCACTGCGGTGCTTTCAAGAGATGTGAGAGAAAGAGGCAGAAAACACCAGGCTAGGAATGTTATTGGTGGTCATGAAGGGGGGAAAAAGCCAATATTTCTCACAGAAGGAATTGCATCTCTAAGATATTCAAATAAACTATAGGAAGAATTAAATAATCTGATCATATTTGGTATTGAAAGAACAGCAAAATAGGAATAAATGATTCCTAGCCATGGAATCAGATCTTGGTTGGAAATGGCAGTTGACAGCCAAATCTTATGAGCCTGTGCCTGGCTCATAAGATTTGGCTTCAGATACAAGATAGATTGACCTGAACTGCCATACTATACTGAGTATTTTTCAGTTCTAACTGGCAAGAGCTATCTTTATACCTGGTATTTTAAAACTAAATATAGTTTATGATCTTTTGCATGCAGAATATGTACTTAAATACATTGTTCTATGGTTACTTACTTCCCCATATGTTTACACGACAAAGGAGTTATACTAGAGTGAGATAATATTATATAGTGCGAATAGGTAAATCCTTATGCAAAAGAATAAATGGTAAACAAGTTAGCACCACAAGCAATACTTAAGAGGCAAGCAGGAGAAACTGTCAACCTTCCCATGACATTCTGCTTCAGCCCTTTTTTTAAAAAAAAAGAAAGTCAGATTGAAGAAAAGCTGAGTTGTAATTTACCAAGTGTTTAATTCTGTCATATGAGGCTTCAACCTAGAGACTTATTTTTAATACCACTGTAGGTGTTAATTAATTCAGCAGTGAAAAGTTCCTTATAAATGCACTGTGAATGATCACTGGGTTTGGTTTTTACAGTACAAAATGATGCACTATTTTAAAGTTAATTTTTCCTCTTGTTTTCACTGCCATTATTTTGTTTTCCTTTTATAAATTAAAAAGGAAACTCTGAGTTTGATTTCAAGTGATTTCATGGATGTATTGATGTATTGATTGACACAATACATCCACCACATCATGGGAACATTTTTGGAATGAATTTTTCCCTACCCTATAGCTCTGCCCCACATCTAAGTATTAATCTAGCCAAACAATCCCACTAAAGCCAGACAAACTTGGCTTGTTCAAACCTTTGATCTAATAACAAACACATTGTTATTAACACTTTGTTATTTGATTTTTTTCATTAAGAACAAATGAATTTGATAACTGAACTGGCCTTCTTCCCTAGCCATTTCCTCCCGATTTGGATTGAAAATCCCGATTATTGCATTACAGGCAAATGTATACAGCAAGGGGAAAAAGCCCCACTAATATTTTAAAGTTTAAAACATTGACCATCAAATTCGTATGTTTGTATGAATTCATATATATGTATGAATGTATGTACACATAGTCAACCCTTTTAATATCGGCCTTTGCTCTATTCTAGGTTACTCTCTGACTTAATGATATGTTACTCACGAATTTAATATATTCTAGGTGCTTCTAGGTGCTTGGTTAAGAATGTGAACAAAGCCCTGGATCTTGCTAGCCATTTGGGAGGATACTTTGCAGGAAATGCATGGTTAGGAGAGAAGGTTACACATACTCTAGTATTTAAAACTAAGATAATTTGGATCTAGCTAATATTTGGATGGGGAACCCTGGGGAATTTGAGTGCTATTGTTTTACCAGGAAGTTTTTTTTAAAAAATCTCAGAAGAAAATGTTCATAAATTACTTCAATAATGTCAGAAATGATATGGATGTGCCCAAGTGTTAGGGCGTTCCTACTCTGGAGGTTTTAAGATGCGATTGGAGAACCACTTGTTTGAAATGGTATAGGGTTCCTGCTTGAGTAGGGGGATGGACTGGAAGTGATTTTATATACAGAAAGTATTCAGACTCCCTTAACTTTTGTCAATTTTGTTGTCCTGCAACCTGATTCTACAGATGTTGAAATTCATTTTTTTCTCATTAATCTACAACCATACTGACAATGTGAAAACGGAAGTTTATATCTATAAAGTATGCTGTTAATCTACTCACTTACATTCTAGTTTACCACATTATCTTTTTTGGAGATGGGAAGAAGGAGAGATGATCTTCTATATGTTGTAAACAATAACCCAAACAATCCCTGCCAACATTGCCAACAAGTTCTTCAATGTTAATGCATCTTTACTTATTAATTAGTAACTTATGGCTGATGCACATAACTGCTGGAAAACCGGTAATTTATAATAGTCCACCAAGTAAGAATTTACAGAGTCTCCAAATTTGTCTATGGGTACAAATGTGGGCAGGCTTCCATGAAGTCAGACATGCTAATTTATCAAAAAAAATTGTATGCATACTCTAGTATAATTCTTACCTATCAATAATATATAAGCAACTTGGATCAACCTTCAAAGTATTTTTGGAACAGGCCTTGGAAAAATCTATCTTAAAACATTTTACAAAATCTATCATAAAAACATTTTACATTTAACATGTTACATTTCTATGCCATTTATGGTATTTTCATCAGTTTGCCACTGGCTATCAGTTAAGGATGTTTTGAGTCCTAAAATACTGCATGGCTTAGAACTGGGATTAGAACCCAGTATAAGAGAGATATTTGGAAGAGGCAGCAGTGAGGAAAATATGTGTTTTTTATTAATTATATTTTAGGAATTGTCATTTGAAAAGTGATAATATATACAATGCTGTTATACATCTATATTTGTGAGTGTTCTTGAAGTTTTTTTCAGGAGGAAGAGGTAGAATATAAATTCAGAAATCAAATAAGCCAAGCCAAATAGCAGATGATGATATCAACAAAGCCTAATTAATTTATCTATGGATTTTATTTAAATGTTTAGTTATAGATTTTAACATATTAAAATTGTCAAGTTCCCACAGACCAATCGAAATGAATTTTCTTATCAGAAGAAGTTAATATTTAGTAATGCCATCTATTCTATTTGTAAGAAGGATCTCTTCTCCATGTGTGACTATGGTATTGTAGTTAGCAGTATGGTAAATGTCCATTTAAACTGAATAATTGATATTTGCATCAATTTACATAATTTGCATAATGTTGTATTTCACACTATCTGGTTGGCAGAAATTGTTATCTAAATACCATCAATTGTTTGAACTGCTTTGGAAACAACAGACTTGGTGTGTTATTTGGAGGTGAAATTTCCACTGACATTTTATCCATTGCATCTGAAACGTGCTGAAAAGGAGTTTGTAAAATTGAGCTTTTATTGTATAGTAACTGATTTTAAAAAGCAAACAAATGAATCAAGAATGTAATTGTTTTTCTCCCAATGTTATATATACTCTATAAACAGAATACTACTGCTTAAGACCAGATTTCTGCCCAAGTTGTTAAATCCATTTTAAATAGACAGTTCATCCTAAAACAAGGTCAAATGAGTATTTGGAGCCAAAAGGCACATTAGTTGAAACAATAGCACTTGTTGAGATCATATTATGAAAATTCTTTAAAAATGATTGCCTTAGTGGGTGTGGCTAATAGGAAAACACCCTTTTATTGGAAAGTAGTTTGGTTACAACACTGGAAATTAAAATGAATTATTCTTTTCATCCTGCAGTTAGTTTTACAGTAATACAACATCCCCTTTGCAAAAAACAAACAAACAAACCAAACAGGAGCAGTAGACTAATTCATTTGTTAGCGTCAACAAAAGCAACCAGTATCAAGCACATAACAATTTGTCTTCTCATTTTTGAAAACATGAAAAGTCTGGTGTTTTTTATAAACCATTGTGTGATCTTTGGATACAGAGCAATATATAAACTGGGCCAATGCTTATTCTGGTATAAACCAATCTACTTCATTTAATGACATGAGCTTTGATTCCAGAGTGTATGGAATAATAAATGTGCTATCTAAGAGGCTGGGGATTAGATATTATTGCCATAGACTAACAAGGCTGTCTTTTTAAAAATACCTCACTGCCATCCTTGTTTTTCCATGATCTATTTAAATTTTTGTTCTAGAGCTTACTCGTTTTTCTGGATTACATGTATGAAGTTTTTCGTTTATCTTGCCTGCAAGAACAGTTGCATGCCAACTTGGTGGGAATCTCAGTAACACGCATGCATTTGCTGACATCTTTAAAGCCACTTAATTTCTTCCATCCCAGAGAAAAAGAAATCTTTTCTGGGGAAAAAAGCATTTAGCCTGAGCCTGCTTATGCTCACACAGGGACGTTGGAGCAGCTGCTGCTAGCTGTAAGCATAAGCAGCTGGGTCCATTTCTCCCTAACCTCATTTACATATTTGTCAGCTGTTCAGAGCAAGACAGGAAAAATAATCCCTTTGCTTGTCATAGGAGTTTGCAATTTTGACTGTGTCCTAATTAGTGCTCCTGTTTCCTGGTGCTCACAGCTCAGGGCTGTGCTGCATGAGGCAGCCACAATTTATAGGAGATGAAGTAGGTATGAGTGAACCAGGAAGACAGGAAAAAGGGGCTTCGAAGGAGGGGCCCAAGAAAGAAGCAAAGTTGGCTGGAGGGAAATCTTCAAAGCTGGATAGAGGCTCTCTGATCTGCATGGAATTTTGGGGGTGCAAGAACAAAATAAATAAATTTCACTTATCTTATTATTTAGGATCAATACCCAGCAGACAAAGAAATGGAGGATTAACTGAGAAGACCCAATAAAAGGTATGAGAGTTATTTGTGTATCTATAGAGCAAAGGGGACAACCTCCTTTTGATTTTAAGACTTCCAGATCCCACAATCAGCATCATACCCAGAGCCAGAGGTTATAGGAGCTGTGGTCTAACATTAGTATTTGATGGGCCCTAGGCTATAGAACCAGTTTGGTGTAGTGGTTAAAGCATTGGCTAGAAATTGGGAGACTAGCTCTACCTTAGGCACAAAGCCAGTGATGTGACCTTGAATCAGTCACTTGTCTGAGCTCTAGGAAGGAGACAATAGCCAACCACTTCTGAAAACAACTTGCCAAGAAAGCTGTTTTTGCCAAGACAGTTTTCTAGGCAGTCTCCAAGAAATGGATATGATTAAATAGAGAGAGAGAGAGAGAGATAAAGAAGCTAGAGATGGTAGAAAAGTCATAGAGAAGTTAGCTGTAGGACAGAGAGATGCATCCATGAAATTCTCAAGCCACTTGAAATCTGCATCCCTGTGTTTGAACATCTTGTTTGCTGAAACTTTCTTATGTTTTGTTGCAGTATACATGGATTACTAAGCAGATGTTTCTCTGTCCCTGAGATGGATGTGCCAAGCATCAAGGACTTTCAGTGGAAAACCCTAGCACCTTTGCCCAGTCCAAGAGTCTATTCTTCCCTGGTAGAGGCTGGTGGACAGGTGTTTGCCATTGGGGGCTGTGATGACAATGGTGTGCCAATGGACAGCTTTGAAGTGTATTCCCCAGAAGCAAACCAATGGAATTCTCTGCCCCCAATGCCTACAGCCAGGGCTGGGGTAGCAGTAGCTACACTGGGCAAGAGGATAATGGTGATTGGAGGTGTGGGAGCCCATCAGATGCCTTTGAAGATTGTGGAGATGTACAACATAGATGAGGGCAAGTGGAAGAAAAGAAACACTTTGAGAGAAGCCTCAATGGGCATTTCTGTGTCAGTAAAAGGCAAGAAACTTTTTTAAAAATAAAGTGTGTAGTAGAAACAATTTTAACTTTGAAGGCAGTCCCCCGTCCTTGGATATTTTTCTGTTTGTAATTGCCTTTTTTCACATGCAGAGCCCTAGTCTAGTCAGCAAGAAGCTATCAACTTCTTTTATGCAGTCAGTATTCTTTGATTTTGACCCTTTCACCTGAATTGTTGAAATAACCATCAACAAATTGCTGTGGTTGTGTTTATGTGGTTTTCAACCATCTGGCCTAAAACTCGGCTGTGAATCCTGTCTTGTAATTGGAGTACGGTCTGACCTTTTCTTCTTTTTCTTTTTAAACACACAGCCAGGCAGTTCTGTATTCCTGCCAAATATGGAAGAAGTTGTTTATTCTGTTTGGTTTGGTGAAGTTTTTATAGCTCCCAGAGGACAGATAAATCAGCGCTTTCTAGAGCATGTGACAAGCTGAAGGTTTTTGCAAAGCATGGAGCGCCAAAGTCATTCAGTAGGAATTTATATAGGAAGGTGACTGTGTGCAGTCGAGCGTCAATCTTTTTTCCCTTCAGTATTTTTATCTTCACATTACAACCTGCTTTTGAATGCTTGAATCATTTTAGGTGACTATTTGCAATGAAAAGTATCAAATTGCTGTTATGAAGTAGAAAGCCAGAAGCTTCATTTTACCCGAACAAGTGTTTACCTGCTTAAATGGGAGGTTGACTGCAGGAGAGGAACAGCTTAGAGAAAGAAGTATTTGTTGGAATTTAGCCAAGCGCAATGAATACTCATTTATCCTATTGTTATGCATGTGAACAACTCTTTTTAGATGGACTAAAGTCATAAATAAATTTATAGCAGAACTTGATGGAAGTTTTTACCCTTAAAGTCAGGCTATATGATCTGTGGAACATGATAAAATGATAACCATGAATGTCTTTCCATTCAGGGATTATTGTGATTTTACATTTAAAATGCATGATTTATAACTCAGGTATATTTCTGCCTAATAACTTTGTTCTTAAATCTCCACATATACAATGGGGTAAACTCTTCTGAAACTCTAACACCAATTTCATATTTTGTTTCCTTTTTTCTTTCTTTCCAGACTACCGAATCTATGCAGCTGGTGGAATGGGAGCAGATCTACGTCCTCACAATTATATGCAACATTATGATATGCTTAAAGACATTTGGGTGTCCTTGGCAACCATGCCTACACCCAGGTATGCTGCCACCTCCTTTCTGCGGGGTACCAAGATCTATGTTCTGGGTAAGATTACACCTCAAAATATCTTCCCACTTTGCAGCTAACTCTAACCCAAATTTGTCTCCAAATGCATAGTTCAAGAACCTGTTTCTTCTTCCTCAGACAGCTGCTTAAAATATACATTGCTGGAAATGTCCTTTGAGTAAATAATGTCTGAGCAGTAACTATCAGGTTTTCACTGAAGCCATGGGTCCATGGCTGCATCTCTCCATCATAATGGAAGGAAATAGTATTTACATGAATGTCATTTTTCCTGTGCAATATTGTGAGATTAAGGAGCAACAATCCACAAATAGGCTTTTGGGAAAAAATACCGAAGTGACATTTCAAAATCATCAGTCGCAAATAAAACAAGAAACTCTTGTGAATAGTGTATCCACCAGTTTCAGTCATTGTTGGTGACATCTGTGGCAGAATATTTGTTATGTCCCCAAAAAGGTAAAAAGTATAGAACCAATTATTAATCTTGTTTCTGTTCTTTAACTACTTTAACTACTTATGTAAGATCAAGATTACTATGTTCTTCGGTTCTACCAACCTCAAGAGGAATTGGAAAGACTTAATTTTTTCACACAGTGTTCAGCTAATATAGGGTTTGCTGTCACATGTTCAGATTCAAACTACCCGTGACCAAACTTCCTGTGACCAAGTTACCTGGAGGACCGCAGTGGTCCTCCAGGTAATTCCGACACAACTGTCCTTCATTCATTAGCTAAAGTCAGTTTGCTGCCTCTGCCCTACCTTCCTGGGGTCACAAATTAGTCAGGAAGTCAGAGCTTTCACATTATCTAAGTCCCTCTCCTCTCTTCATCACCAATTAGCAACTTTCTTATGGCAGGGTATTTCAGGATTGTTGTTTCTATCAAGAAATCTCTTGAAGGTCAGATATTTTGCTTGCTGGATAGTAGCTAGCATTATAGAGTGAAAAGGATATACAGAGAGAAAAACCTTTGCAAGAAAGAATTCCTGAGTCTAGTACTTGAAATATAATCTTTATTTAGGAAATAACATGGTGATAGGAAACTCTGAGTTACTTTAGTCTTTCTTCGGCTAAAATACTGTCGAGTGCTCTTGTCCATTATGGAGTGGTAGCAAATCAGATGAACAATACAGGTCAGAGACAGTATAGAAAGAAGGCAAAACTGAGAGCAAAGAAAGTGATGGAAACCTGAGAATAGCAGTTAAGAAGATGTCAAAGCACTTTAGGCAAGGAAATGAAAGTACCCCCTTCATTCTCACTACATCTATTGCCCCGAGGGTCAATCACTTTATCAATACAGAAGGTTGGTACACACAAAATTGAATTTGAACATTGCTAATATAGCTAATAAATAGCATTTGGAGACTGCAGTATCTCCCCAATATACCTGTTTTCTATAAAGTTTAAATCAAACGGAGATAAGATCTGAACAGAATGAAACAATAAAAGTCATTTCTATTTTGATCTACTGTGGCTGTTCTCATTCTAAGAGAGGGAGAAAAAGTATGTTCTAAAGCTTCCAAAGTTGGAATCACGATCTTTTGTGACCAGCATGGAACAGGAAACCTATCACTGTCCTCATAAGTCATGATTCATAATACCCATCTCTGTCTCATGGCTTTTGATGAGTAAGTAAGTTGTCTTCTTAAGTAATAGAAGCAAATGCTGTCAATTTCTTATACACTTCAGTATGGTCTTAGAATGAGAGTAAATTCTGTTCACATCTACACCAGAGCTAACACACTGTACTGAGTACTGAGGCATGAGTAGATAAGTGCTAGCTGGGGAAATCTGGGACTTGGTCCACACCTCTTAAAGTTATCCAGTTTGAAAATGGGCAGACAATAGTTATCAAGCTTCCTGCAAGGGGAGAGCAAGAGTGATAGGAGAGGAAGTGAGTTAATTTTTTTTTTTTTACTTAAAGTAATTACATAAACAGAACTTGCAGTAAAGAGCTCCTGTGACTTTCCTTTGTTCATTCTTCCTACAGCTGGTAATCATGCTTAATCTTTCTTGGATGTTTTTAAAGCAGATGTATTTTCTACAAATCTCAAGATCTCCCAGATGTGCTGACAGCTCCCTCTCATTTCTGACTTTTTATTGCTCCCTTTTGGCTCCAGTTCTGTGTTGAGGGAGTGATTATCCATCATGCCTTGATAATCAGTTTAGTTAAGGACAACTGTAAATATAAAAGTATAACACCACCACTAGCAAAAATAATAATAATCCCAACAGATCAAAAAATAAAATTGGTACATTATCAAAGATTAAAATGTTGCTAATCAAAATATACTATTGTATAAAATGGACAGATAGGTGGAAGCTACCATGACATGCTTAATGATCATAACTGCAACCTTGAAGAAAATATACAATCCTTTTGAAGCGTAATTGATAGGACATCAATGGGATAAATTTATTATCCTGCAACATCACATACTTCATGCCAAATATACAGTCAGGGGTTTGTCTGATTTATGAACTTAAAGAATAACAGCTCTAAGAGTAATCATAATGATCAGTTGTGTCATGTGATGTTAGCTTTATAACTGAAATGTTGAAGAGTAGCAGAAAAATCTGTTCAGCTGAATGACTATCCAGAGAAAATTGCATAATGAGGCGTAATTTCCCCCCAAAAATATTTCATCGGTAGTCGGATCTTGTTATTTCCTAATAGGATGATGAATAAAAGGACATAAACTGAGTTGGTTTTTCAGCAGCCCAGAGAATCCTTTTCCCCTCACTTCCGATAGCATTTCCTCACCTGATTTTCCTCAGTTCCCATTCCCTGCTGCTTTCAGAATGATGAAAAAATATTGGTATGAAGCCAAACTGATCTTTCATTACAGTATCTGCTTTTCTGTACTGAAGGTGGAAGGCAGTCCAAGTATGCTGTGAATGCCTTTGAAGTCTTTGATATTGAGACCAGATCTTGGACCAAATTCCCCAACATTCCCAGCAAAAGGGCTTTCTCCACCTTTGTTTGCACAGAGAACAATATCTTTAGCCTTGGGGGATTACGGCAGGGCAGATTGTACCGTCAGCCCAAGTTCATGAAAAATGTGGATGTCTTTGACATCGAGCAAGGTGAGTTCTTCTGCGATTGCCCTCCAAATTCCAATGTAGCTATGGGGAGAACAACCTTTTGATGACACACTTTTTATAACTAATAAAATGATGTCTCTGTTTCATTGTGGTTTGCTATGTATATTCAGCAATACAGTTTGGGAAGATTTTGAAAGCGTAACAAGTGATTGTGTGAACCTAATGAACTGAAGTTGCTTATCCAAGCCTTATAATGGGGTGTACAATGTGTATTCCCTGGTTTGCATTTAACCTCTACAAAGTTTGGGATCTGTCCTATTTATCCTAAATAAGTTACTGCCCAATTGCCATTATTAAATTGTTACATCGAACTAGGTAGATTGGAAAATTACTAAATACATGAAGAATAGCTATATGAAATGTACAGTATTTATCATTAATATGAATTTACTTAGAATAAAATGTACTTTCATTCTGATTCTACCTACTTATCTTTAGCAAAACACACAAAAGTAAAAAGCAGCCCATGCCCCAAAATGTTATGTATCTCTGATGTAATAAGGGAATTAATGTATGTAATATAATGGTAAAAACTCTGGATTGCAGCTTTTGATTTTAAAACCCAAGTTGAATCAAGTTGTACACTGATCCCTAAATATTTGAGAAGCCCACCATCTAAATTACGTTTTCAAACCAAGTGTTCTCCAGGTGCCAGAAAACTCATTGTTCCAATTGTACTGCCAATTGTTGCTAAATTTATATTAAGCTTTAAAGTTCAGATGTAAAACCTTTATGTGAAATTCATAAATCCAGAAGTCAGTTTTAACTTAATGGAGGAGATGAGTCTGCGGAGAAATGAACCAATTTATCATCTTAATGTGAACAGTAACTACACACCAGAGAGAGGGCCCCACATATTATTGAGTTAATGGAGGGTTGCAGCCTTTTATGAGATTCTCTTGAACTTCAGGTTGTCATGCTTTTCTAATGCCATGGGCTTCAAATTTGCCGAAACCTAGGAAGAGTTGGATGTGGAATGTTAACTTTTATATGTTAATGAACGTTAATATTTTAGAGCTCTGCGTGGAATTTTACTGGTAATTGGATAAGGAGATGTAACTTATTTGATTTGCCTATTGTTAAGAAAAAGGGGCAGTGTGATGGCTCAATGATTAAGATGTTGGGCTTGTTGGCTGGAAAGCCAGCAGACCAGGTTCGAAAACTGAGCATCACATGACAGGGTGAAAACTGAGCATCACATGACAGGGTGAGCTCCTGTCCTTGCCCCAGCTCCTGCCAACCCAGCAGTTTCAAAGCATGTAAATGCAAGTAGATAAATAGGTACCATTTTGGTAGGAAAGTAAAAGCGCTCTATGATGTCATGCTGGCCACATGACTGCAGAAATGTCTTTGGACAATGCTGGCTCAATGGCCTTGAAACAGAGATGCGCACTGCCCCCCATAGTCGGGAACTAGTGGAGTATAACCTGCAATGACTTCTTTACCTTTTTTTTAATTACTGAGAGATGGTTATGAGATGAAGAGTTTTGTATTTATTAAGAGAAGATGAGATTATGAAATTTTTTATATTTGTTGTGATGAGGGTGGGAAGCTGCTTTTTTAAAGGGAAGTTCTTTTTTACTTTTTGCCTTCTTACATTTTTTTTCTTTCCTTTCTTTTTCTAGTTAGCATTATGTTTTGTTGTGGTTTCTAAACCGTTTATTAAAATTATTATTAAAAAAAAGAGTCCCAGGATAAGTTGTATGTTGGTTCTCCCCATTCCTCAGCAAACTAGTATCTTTCCTCAGGCCTGCCTCAAAGAAGTAGAATTTCTCCAGTAATAGTATATATTCAGTGGAGTTGATAATTTTCCCAGAAAGCAATGTCCATATATGTACATCATTGAATTCTGCAGAAGTTACAACAGCAAAGGGAGGGAATATAACTGAAGGACTTGGTGATCATGTCTGTACCAACCACTAAAACAAGTATAAGTGGGGAGGGAAATACGAACACGCAGAATATATCAGTGGTGGGAAAATCTATTGAGTTATAGACCTCTAACATGCTATTAGCTATGAAAAAAGTCAAGATCATTTAATAATGAATCAGGTTAATTTTCAGGGGGCTGGATGAAGATTGATCGCTCATTTTTTCTGAAGAAACGACGGGCAGATTTTGTTTCTGGCTATTTAAAAGGAAGAATTGTTGTTGCAGGAGGATTAGGTAAGGATTTTCCCCCCATCCCTTCAAAGTGAATTCCAGTTTGAATTACATTTTCCTGAAACAGTTACTTCCAGTTTTCTTTATATTGTGAAAATAGGCCTGTCCATGAGTCTACCTCAAAATGTCTCCAATAAGTCCTGCTCTTATTAATGACCCTCTGCCCATTCCATGTCTATGGAGCCAATAGGGAAACCGTTAGTCTGGAAACACATAAAGCTTTGCCATCATGGATCCCCTGGGTTCCTTTCTAAGCATGAACTCAGGTAATGATCTCTGAGTAGAAAGTCACAAACTTCAGATAAATATGTCCAAGGCATATAATAAATATGTCCAGATGATGGACTAGAAAAAAAATGATTATTACAGGTAAGGTTGAAGGAAATAGAAAAAAAAGAAAGATGGATGGATGGAATTTCCTTAGAAGAGTTCCTTTGTATTATTATAAAACTCCAGGTGTCAAGCATTTCTTTACCTCTACAATTATCAGGAAACTTGACTTAGTAATGCTGAACTAAAATCCAGTACAGCTAAAATATTCATACTGACAAAATAAACTGAAAAAGTATATGTTTTTATTGTGTGAAGTTGGGAGCCTGGGAAGAGAGATATACAAGATTTAAAATAGGACAACTAGAAATAGTTAAAATGAAGAAAAAAATAAATCAACACAAATCTTTATAAGCTTACACTATGGACAGCTATGGTAGCCAAAATATCTGAAGAAATGTTTAAATTCACAATTATTTGTGCAGCTGTGAATATGATACAGTACAAATCAAACCAATTTCTTCTCTAAAGTGAGAGAGACAATCAAATCTATATTCAGGGATAAGAAGTGTGTGTGTTTGTGTGCTTGTATTTATATCAAAGCAGGGGGATGAAATCACCTTTTTCTGAAACTATTCTCTGCACTCAACATGGCATGTAATCAATTCTTTTTTTCTGTCAAGGAGAATAACAGCACTAGAAATCCAGCTGATTTAACTTGTTTTCTGTGGTTTCTCAAAGTCAATTAGTTAAGAAAAAGCAATAATCTCTCCAAAAATTACAGTTCCTACAACAGTTTTTTCAAGTTTGGGAACCTGAAGATGTGTGAACTTCAGCTCGCAGGATTCCCGAGATAGGCTCAACCATGCTGGCTGAGGAATTCTGGGAGTTGAAATCCATACATCTTAAAGTTTCCAAGCATATATCCCAAAGGATATATTTGCCCCAAATATGCATACATAAGTACACACACAAACACATATACATGTATATCCTTCTTTTTAAAATCAGTGATCAGTAGAATGTTTATTGGTTGGCTTTGGAATTCGGTGAGTTTTTTAAACCATCTGTAATCATATTTTTCTCTAACCAGGAAACCAGCCAACCGTTCTAGAATCTGCTGAGGCCTTTCATCCCGGAAAGAATAAATGGGAAAGTTTGCCATCTATGCCTACTCCACGGTGTGCTTGCTCCACCATTGTGATAAAAAACTGCCTTCTTGCAGTAGGTGGAGTGAATCAGGGTTTGAGTGACACAGTAGAAGCATTATGTGTCTCTGATTCCTAGCTGGCATGTCATTGGATGCTCACCATTCACAGTGATCTACAGACCAAGAAATAGCTCTGCAACCTTTAAAGCTGGGCCAGTGTCTTCAGTATGTGAAGAGTTGACACTTTTCCTTCACCATCTCTTGCACTGCCTTGCTTTTCTCTAATTCCTTTCATAGTGTCCTTTGGAGACAACAAATTCTCCATGTAGCTGCACAATTTTGTGGTTCTATCAGCTGGCAGAAACTCTTTCCTAGGATGATATCATTTCTGCAAACATTATAGAGCACCACTGACTCATGAGTTTATAGGGTACTTCCACTGTCGACTCTGAATGGCTGAAAATCAGACCAGTTCTGTAATGGAGCAGTCAAGATTCCTAGCCTAACAAGAAGTTTTGCCTAAGGATGAGGAAGCATATCATCTAGGACTGTGAAAAGATTTTGCCTTCCTCTGAAATATCATGTACTAGTAACAGCCACTGAACAAAATCATTAAGATTCTGTGCTTTTCCAAGTACTTTTTGAAGAGTAACAATGGAAACAAAGAAGGAGATCTAACAGAGCTAGAGAACAGTGTGCCCCGGCATTCCTGAGCTCTTAAATTCTGCCATTATGATAACGAATTTAATGTTTTTCTGTGGGGAAAAACTTGAAGAATTCATAGTTTTCAAAATTCCCTACTGTGATATTGGACATACAGGGATTCAAAGCATCTTGCATGAATGTCTTCCAATCATGCAGCTTATGATAGTGAAGTCACCTCAATTTTTGTGAGAGCAACAAACATATTAGCAGTATATTCTATCCTTAGAATAGCAGGTTGTTTTGTCCAAGGGTCTGAAAACAAAAGGTTATAGGTTAAGGATCAATTTCAGGAGAAGAATGCCTCTGTCCCAGGAACCAAGGTATTTCTCCCTTCCATGAGTC